TTTGTTGAGATAGTGAATTGGTGGGTTTTTGTTAAATGTGAGCCAAAATCATCACAATTAAAAGAACCAAAGACTTAAACTACTTCAGTCTGTGTGCATTGAATTTATTTAATACACGAGTTTCACAATTTTAGTTGAATTACTGAAATAAATTAACTTTTCCACGACATTCTAATTTATTGAGATGCACCTGTATATAAATCTAGAAGTAAATGCAAAAGTAAAAAGCACTGAATAATGTGTTGTTTAAACACAATACATATAAGCATGTCTGTGAAAGATTGTATTACTGTACTGTGTAAAAAAAAGAATCACAATGCTGAAAAAGCATTTTAAGTAACAATGTTTGGATTTGAAATCAAAATAATGGATAAATGTTGTGTTTGTGGTAAACAGCCACGGATCAGTAGCGGACTCCTAGCTGCTTCCTGCTTCCCCTCTCACAAGAGTCACCTAAGAGAGGAATTCCCCCCATTTTCAAAAATGAACCCTGAATAAGATCTGTGATCGGCCTCAAAAACCCTGATCAGAGCACCCCTACACGAAACATAACCATGCAAAATACAATAGCATTTGTTTGCCCTCATTTGACATGCTAGAGGCAAGCTAGCCGAGACAACCCTCATTTGTTTCGCCAGAAAGCCCTTTAGTCATGATTAGGAAACAATAGCAGCTTTAATGTACTTCTGATGTGTCCATGTGCATGAATGTATGGAAACCAAGGAAGCGGTGACAATAAAAGGTGTGACTTTCCTGTTTCTCAAAGGTTCAGTCCTACAGCACAAACTGACATTTTACGATTCAAAGGGCGCATAGAATTAGGGAGCAAACTAAAACTGGCTTGCTAATATGAATATACTGACAACTAAAGTCCTTTATTCACTGTACAATACGGCCTTGAGTGCCTTATTGCTTTTTTTAAAGACAGGCACATCAAAGCAAGAAATCTTTTCAAAAGCTGTGATAAATCACAACTAGCCAAAATATTATATACAATAAATAATAAAAAATACAAATGCATATACATACATATACTTCTGTTCAAAAGTTTAGGGTCAGTTTTTTTTTTTTTTTTTTTAAGAAATGAATACTTTTATTCAGCAAAGATGCATTAAATTGATTAAAAGTGTTGGTAAAGACTTTTATATTGATTTAAAAAACAAATGCTTTTGAAATTTCTATTCATTGAAAAATGAATCATGTTTTCCACAAAAACAGCTTTCAACATTAATAAAAAGAAATGTTTCTTGACCCGCAAATCAGCATATTAGAATGATTACACTTCAAAATATATTCAAATAGAAATATGTTATTTTAAATTGTAATAATACTTCACAAAACAGATAAAATGCTGTGATGAATTTCTTCCATTGGCCCTGACAAGACAACAGGATGAGATGGGTTACAGGTTGAAGGAGAACTTCAATTTATGGTGGGAACAAATACCATCATGTGTACACATGTAATCCGATAAGATAAGTCATAGTTGTGAGTTTGTCATAGTTTGAATACCATCAGCTCATTACCAAACAAACTCGCTGAATGACTTTCCTACTTGGATTGGGGGAAACAAGACTACTACAATGGTCTGAGAAAACGTGTTTGGCTGGTAATGCATGACATAACAGATCCAGGTCAATGCCTTTTCAGTAGAAACCTCAATGAAACTGTAAACACACATGACAATAAATGCTACAATCATCATGTCATGTAATCATGCTGAATGTCAAACAGCAGTCAACAAAACTAGTGCACTTTGATACAAACCATGTAAGTCATTTTGTGAAAACTGCATATGTTTTATTTATTTATTCATTTATTTTTTATTCATTTAAAAACCAA